AAGTTGGGTTTCTAACCGGGCTATGGCTTGTGTGTTCGAGTTGAGCACTTGGCCGGTGGTTTGCATGAATGAATTTAGAGTGGTGGATGATTGGGTCAACATGTTGGTAGTTTGTGTAGAAGCTTTGATCATAGCTTCTAAACCCTTTTCTAAGACACTCAAACGTTTGTCATGATCGGAATTTGATTGATTTGTAGGCTGGTGAGGATGAGGATGTTGGTTTGGAAAAGGTGGGTTAGAAAAATTGTTCGGTGCGTTGAATGGGACAGTGTTTCCCCTAGGGAATTGTTGGTTTGACGCGGGAATAAAGTTTTGGTTTCCATGAGAATTTCCTTGGTTCCAAGCAAAATTGGGATGATTTCTCCAACCTGGATTGTAGGTTGGAGAAAATGGATCATTTCTAGGGCGCTGGAATGCAGCGTTCATCTGTTCTAAAGCATGGTTGTTTCCTAGAAGAGGACATTCCTCTGAAACGTGGGTAGGAGACTGACAGTTATGACATCCCGGGGCAGAAATATGATTGATTTGAGCCGGAGCTCGTTCCTTAACTTCTAAGGCTTCTAACCTCCGCAGAATCGTCGCCATCTTCGCTTCAGATGCAATGTTTGACTCCAGGGAAAGACCACTAGACTTAGATTGGGAAACAGATGAAACCCTGTCATCACAGTTTTCCCACTGCATTGTTTTCTCGGATAGACTCTCTAGGAATTCCCAAGCTTCATCGGCGTTTTTTCTCATAAAATCTCCCTGACACATCGATTCTAAAGATGTTTTTGAAGAATAGTCCAATCCTTCATATATGACTTGGCACAATCGCCATTTTTCTAGACCGTGATGAGGACATTGGATTAAAAGATCTTTAAATCGGTCAAAGTATTTCCAGAATGGCTCTCCCGGGACAATTTTGAAATTCTGAATGCTGTTCCTAAGCTTTACCGTTTTGTGAATAGGGAAAAATTTCTTGAGAAAAACGGTGACAAATTCCTCCCAAGTTGAGATGGAATTTATCGGTAAGCTATACAGCCATTTTTTAGCTTTGTCCTTTAGAGCAAATGGAATAAATCTAAGCTTAATCGCATCTTCGGTTAATTCTCTCATTTTTATCATAATACATACTTCCTCAAATTCCGAGATAAATATATATGCATCTTCTGTTTCATTACCTAGGAATTTGGGAAGCATGTTAATGAAATGCGGTCTAAGCTCGAAATTTGCTCCATTTACTTCGGGGAGTCTTATGCAAGATGGAATTGCATTTCTGGTGGGGTAACACATATCCTGAAGAACGGGCTGATTTGCCATTTCTTGGATTGGTTCAACACGGATTAAGCGATGAAAATTATCCCGAACCCAAATTTGTATACACCAAAATAATTTTTTTTTTAAAGGAAAGAAAGAAAATTAGTTTTTTTTAAGGAAAATTAGTTTTTTTTTAATTTTTTTTTTAAAGAAAATTAGTTTTTTTTTAAGGAAAGAAAGAAAGAAAATTAGTTTTTTTTTAAGGAAAATTAGTTTTTTTTTTAAGGAAAGAAAGAAATTTAGTTTTTTTTTTATAAAGGAAAGAAGAAAGAAAATTAGTTTTTTTTTAATATGAGAAGATAAAGAAAAAGAAAAATCCTAACTAAAACAAATCAAGGCAATCACTTTTCAATCAACTCTAACTCTAGGGTTTAGCCTAACTCCACTAGACCAGCTCCTAACCAAAAATTCCTACAGTGAAAAGATCAAAGTTTTACCCAGGTAGTTAGCCAGGTAAGGATAGTACTAGAGGGTGATCAAAGATCAATTAAGTACCTCTTTCCTTGCGGAGCGCTTTACGCAACCCCTAAACCTTGCCTTAGACACCAACTATTCTGAGAAAACTTAAACCGTTCACTTAAGGATTTCTTGTTCCTTATTGAGCTCGAATCCTTAGGGGCCAACGTCTAATGAGTTTTAGAAGGCTTGGATTTGTGAAGTGAGGAATTAGTGATTTGTGGGCTAAGGAAAGGGTGATGAAATCCCTTACCTTATCTTGATTGGGGTTTTGCCCTTAAGAATGTTTTAAGTGTGTGCCAAATCAAGTGCTACAATCACTTTGGTGAATTCCTACACTATATGAAATGCAACCCTAGAAATTAAAAGCGACTAAAAAGGATGATAAAAAGAAAATCTTTTTTTTAATTATGGTCAATAATAATCAAATGTGAGAAGATGAATTTTATTATGGTCAACAAAAATAAAATCTTTTTTTTTAAATCCTAATTGTCTCTAATTGTGAAGCTAGCTAAAGAGGGTGGAATTGAAAACTAGAAAGAAGACTTACCCGAAAGCAATGCTCCAAATTCTTGATCTTCAATCCAAGATTTTCAAGCTCCAAGCGGTTCCTTCACAAGAAAAATACACAAGTTAAAGAATCAAGTTAATAAAATCCTATTTTAGCACCTTCCCCGGCAACGGCGCCAAAAACTTGATGCGGCATAATTATGTACCAAAATTGCAAGTGCACAATTTATCAAGTTATAGTATAAAAAGATATCGATCCCACGAAGAAGGTGATTTTAAGAGATTATTAAACTTGGTTCTTATATTTTGTGCGTGACAATTAGGAATAAAGAATAAGTGTGATTGTATGAGTGGTTGTTTTGATTTATATGCAAGAGGTAATAAATTGAATTTTAGAGGAGAGAAGGAAGAATTAAAGAATAAATGAAATCACAAGGCAAGAAATATGAATTAATAAAATCAAGAAATAAAACCAAAAATGAAAAGAAAATTTAAGAAAGTTAAGATGAAGGATTCAAAAGAGGTAAGAAATCTAGAATATAATCCACTAACCAATTTCAATTACAAAATATAAACTATTCTCTTTTTATCATATTTCAACTTAGATTTATTAAGCATAGATTATCAAACCATTTAAGGAAAGTGTAACCTATCAAATTATCATCTAAGCTAAAATTACTATTCATGATAAGAACAACAACATGATAATAATCCTAGAATTCATAAGCATAACCTATCAAACCATTTAAGATAAGCATAGATTATCAAATTCTTCTTCTACCGATTAGTTCTCTAGTTGATTATCCTAACATGAACATTTTAAGTACAAGAGAATAATTCATACAATATAAAAGAAATTAGACTAGTTTCATACAATTCTAAGATTCCTACAAGAATTAAATTCACATCTTAAGAAATAAAAACAAGAAAAAGAAGACTAATTACAAAATTAAAAAGAAAAGAAAAATCTAAACTATGAACAAGAAATAAATCTAATTACAAAGAAAATAAAAATCTAAACTACAAAATAAATTGCAGAAATTAAATGCAAGAAAAATAAATCTACTCTACAAATTAAAGTACAAAAAGAAAATAAAAATGACAAGAAAGTAAATCTACACTACAAGCATGAATTTAAATCTAACTAATAAGCAATAATAAAGAAATTACTAAAAAGAAATAAAATAGAAAAGAAATGCAAACCTTCAAATTGCTCTTCATCTCCATCCTCATCATTCAACAAGAGGAGAAAGAACAAATTTAAAGAGGAAAAAATTATTTTTATTAATTGCAACTAAAGTTATAATTTTTGGAAGGCCTTCTCAATTAAGAGTAGCCCTCCTCTCCAAAAGGAGTTTACAAAATTTTCACACCTCTAACCCCTCACTCTCTACCCCTATTTATAGTAAACATCAGTGAATGAGAGCCATTGGATCGAAATCTTATTCAAAAACATCAATTTTCAGCCATTAATTCGTAACAAACTGCTCAGTGTATCGATACCAGCATCGATAGGGGTATCGATGCTGGCATCGATACAGGCATCGATGCGGGCATCGATGCCCCCATCGATGCAGGCATCGATGCCTGCCTCTCTTCTTTTGATGTCCGCAGAATCCATTGTTGTTTGCTTTTGGGCTTTGGACTTTGGGCTTTGCTTCACTTTTGAGCTTGGATATTTTTCTTCTTTTGGGCTTTTGGATAATTTGAAAATTGATTTTCCAATGGGCTTCTTTGCTTCATTTCTTCATTTAATCCACGGGTTTTAGTTGAGAGATGAGAGTTTTGAGATTTATTCTTCATTAACCTATAATTAAAGATAAAAGCAATTATTAGTAGTATATTTATTCATATAAAATAGATAATGAGGGTATATAATTGTAATAAAATGTGATTATCAGATTTGCTATCTTGTGGACAAAATTATGTTTATGCAAAACTATATTGTTTCTAATGCTTATGTGATATTTTGTGACTTATTGTGTCTAGTTTATTTCTTCTATGAATCAATGCATGGTTGAAACAACATTCATGTTTTGGTGTGTGGAAAATAAGTTGCTTATCATGAGTTCTTTGTACTGTTTATGATTGTTTAGTTTGCTTAGCTCCTTTACATACTATTTAGTGTCATTTATTCTATCTGACAGGGGGAGTTTTTGGCATATATTACTTTGTTTTCATATCTCTATGCTTATAAGCAGGGGGAGCATTGCTCCTATCTTTTATTTTTTTCCCTTTTTGATGTTGTCAAAGGGGGAGAAAAATCCACATAACCACATATAGCTCATATGCTCATATATTTTCATATATAGTTTGGTTTCATGTATGGTTTATCTATGTTTTGGCTTATATGTGGGATTATCAGTTTATATTTCATATTCACGTATAAATTGTTTGCCATCATCAAAAAGGGGGAGATTGTTGACCCTATAGTTTTGATGATGATTTGACAAACAATTTATTACTAATAAGTTTTTTAGTGTTTTGTATTTATGCTCTCTTTTCAGGTATTTCAACACACGTCAATCAGTGTTAAAGATTCAAGTTCATTTGCGTGGATTTACCTAGGTACATGTTTAGTACGCTTACATATATTGTATGATTATATCTAAGCTCAATATATGTACACGTAACACAACTTCTGAAGTTTATCTATCATATAAATGATTTCTCATCAAATGTTGTTACAATAACTTTTCTCTCATGTTTACAGCTCTTTAATATTTCATTATACATATATAATATATGCATAACATATATAAACATATTTACAAGTTCTATATCAACTTTCACTTTCATATAAATACAGGTTTTCTAGGCATTTTTCAAAAACAGGTAGTTTTCACAAACGAAAATTGTTTTTCCAAAAATTCATTTTCAAACATGTTTATTTCATCATTTAGAAACTTTCCCCAAAGTTTCAATATTTTTGGATGAGATTTGTTATTTTTAACGAATTTTCAAAACTGCCCAAAACCTGTCAGTATTGCCTATATCAGTTTTCGGTCGACCGATCCTATCGACCGACAGTGGTTTGTTGAGTTCATACTCGCGGTCGACCGCACCGGTCGACCGAGAGAAAATCCGGGACAGTGGTTTGTTGAGTTCATACTCGCGGTCGACCGCACCGGTCGACCGAGAGAAAATCCGGTCGACCAAAAATTCTGTCGGTCGACCGCCAAGCTCCAAACCCTCTTTGTCGATGTTTTTGAACTTAGCGGTCGACCGGTTCGGTCGACCGACGAGCTGTCAGAACCTTTCTAACGGCTAGTTTTTCTAACCGTTTTCAAACTGGGTTTTTTGGTCTTTTACCTCTTTTAGCTGTTGTATTGGGGTACTATATATATCCCATTGCTGCTCTTCCTCTCCAGAACTAAGAAATCCAAGTTTGGTGTTTTACAAAAGATTAAGTGTGTTTAAGAGCTGTTTAAAGTTGGTTTCATTAATCAGTTTTCAAGAGAAGTTTTTCTACAACAAGAAGAGGCGTGCAAATCCTATTAGGATCATCATTTCTTCAGCTCTTCTTGTCCATTGAGAAGTTTTCTTAACTCTTCTTTATATAGCTTATTATTTCACTTTTATTTGATTAGCTATATTGATTGAGTTATAGTTATTGAATTTCATTCACTCTTGTCACACACACACCTATTGAGCTTAATATTCTCATATTATATATTGTGGGTTTCGGGGTGTGATTTAGTGAGTGTGAGCTTCATTGTGTTCTCACTTGTTATTTGAGAACAATTTATTGTATTGAATTTTTATTTGTGAGAATCACTTGTAATACACTTGTACACCGAGAGAAGTGTGAGGAGAGAGAGACAGGGTCAAATCCAATAGGAGTGGCGTCGATTGATGAACCTAGGGAGAGGTTGTAATCGAGCACTTGAGGAGGAGGACACGGGCTAGGATTCCTACACTTAGTGTGTAAAGTGTGATTGTTGAGTGATTGTGTAGTGTGAGAGTTTTCGGTGAACTTGTAAACCGAGTGTGTAGAAGTTCCGGCTTCCAAACCGGATTGTGATAGTGGATATCTCCTCGAGGTGAGGAGCGGGGACGTAGGTCGTGGGGACCGAACCTCGTGAACATATCGTGTGTTTGTGTTTTGCTTGTCTCATATTTTATTTGTGCATATTCTTATTGTTCTTATTGTTCATATCTATCTCTTGCAAGAACATATTGATCTATATAATTTTAATTAGTATTTTAATCGGATTGGATTAGCATAAGACCCTAATCACCCCCCCTCTAGGGTCTAACATTTGTTTGAGAGGGTTTTATTTGTGAGATTGTAAACCCCAATTGTATCTCTCCCTCTAATAGTAGATCTCCCCCTCCTTGCCCCGTGGACGTAGGCTATTTGCCGAACCACATAAAATTTGTGTTCTTGCCGAGATTTGTAATAGCTTGTAGGATTCCTCGATAGGTCAGTCCTAGAACTGATGAGAGGAAGAGCCATATCTCACTTTGATGAGATACCTGCTTCAGATTCTTGTTTCCTTTGAGAAACGGGAATTCTTATCGATCTAATCTCTCTTGTTGTGCTGCCGAAGTGCTGTCGAAATTTCCGCTGCGCACAACAAGTGGTATCAGAGCTCCGTGTTGGATTTGGGAGCTTGTTCGAAGAATTCGCTGAAGGATTCCTATTTGAAGAATTAGATCGACAACATGGGAGAAACAAGCACATCAGGATCGTCTCTTTCGAAGGCGATACAGAGTCTGAGCATCAATAATACAAAAATTAATGTTCCGAAGTTCGACGGCAAGATCAATTTTGGTTTGTGGAGGTGTCAGGTGATGGACGCCTTGGATGCACAAAATTTGGAGGAGACTCTTGAGTTACAAGAGAAACCCGCTGATATGGAGGTCAAGGTTTGGAAGAAAATGAATAGTAGTGCTTGTGGAGTTATTCGGTCATGCTTGACGCCGGATCTTATTTATGACGTAATGAACGAGACGTCGGCGAAGAGAATGTGGGAAACACTCAATGAGAAGTATCTGACGAAGAGCATTGAGAATCGGCTTCACTTGAAGAAGAGGTTTTACCAATTCAAGATGAAGAGGGGAGTTTCC